AGCAAGATCCTGCCTTGTGATAAAAAATCAGGCTGGGGATGTAGCTCCGTATAAGATGCTGGATTCAATTCCTGGTTCCAAAGAGAGACAGAGGAATGGAGGAAAGAAGGGAAAAAGGGAGGGAGAGAGGGAGAGAGAGAGGGAGAGAGATTTAGCATGGGATGGCATTTGGTTGGAGGTTGGAAACTTCGTAACATATAGAATCACCAAGTACAAAAATGTCAGCATCACAAAAGTGTAATGCCAGAAAGATCTTTAGAAGCCATCTGGTTCATCTCTCCCTCCCTCCCTCCCTCCCTCCCTCCCTGCCTGTACTTTACTGAAGGGAAACTAAGGCTCAGAGAGGAAAGGCAATTGGACCCAGGTCACATAGAATCCTTGCCAGAGCCGTGACCAGAATATGGGTGTCCTGGCTTCCCTGATAGTTTTAGTACAGGCCGCGTTTGGGGGAGAGTGGAGTGGGAGGAGGGGGTGGTGAGGAGAGGAGGGGCCCGGCCTGGGACAGGCAGACAGAGGTATGTGGCCCAGCGCCTGCTGAGACGAGCCCCCAGTGTCGTTCCTAAGGGTTTTTCTATCAAGATGTGGCTTTTGCACTGCAGACACTATCTTCTTTCTCACGCAGGCTGTGCTGGCCTTCACGATAAGGCACCTAGACATGTTCACACTGAGGCAGCCAAAACATGAAGCAGGAGGCAAAAAAAATTCCCTTCTCAGGCTCCCCCCACCCCAGCCCACTCCCCCCCATTTCCTCTCATTCTCTCCAAGTTCTCATGCCCCCCACCCCCAGCTGGCTGGCCTCTTCCTGTCTTCCAGTAAGTCGGCCCAAAGGAGCCAGGAAGGTATGTGGCCCAGGGGAGGTCAAAGGAGAGAGATGTGGAGGGGCCTCCCCTGGGGAAAGAGGACCAGAGCACAGGCTGCCCAGGACTGTGTGAGGCAAGGGCCAGATGGGGAACCCCATGCTGGTAGTCCTCCCCCTGGAGCCTTCTCCCCACTGCAAGCAGATGCAGAGTGCTCTCTGGTTTGGGCTTCAAGCTGGAGGTGATTAAGGCCTCCCCCAACCACAGATTCTCCACTTGCTGAGTTCCTAACAGGGCTTGTTGGGGATTTCTGAGGGGGGAGGCTGTGCTATCTATTTTCATCCCAAAGTCCCAGATAGAAGAGACCTGGTCTGATAGGAGATCACCAGGGGTCCTGACCCAGCAAATCCACTGTCACTGCCAGACTGGTCCCTTCTGGTCTCTAGACTGCAGCTTCTACCTCTGCCCATCAAGGGAGCTGGACTCAGATCCTGACCTTCAAATTCCACCTCTGGCTTTTCAGAAGACGATGTTCTTTCTCAGGCATGCTGGGTACTTGGCATGGTGACTTCATGGCCCGAGTATCAGTGCCCCGCCCCCCACTCCAGTCAGGAAGCCCACCCCACCCTCCGCATCTGGATAGAATTTACCCCCCAGAGCAACTCAATTACCGGTGATCCGATCAGGACGGCTCATGTGTCGGAGGGGGCCCTGGTGAAGGTTGCACTGCCAGAGCTGAGGGTTCCCAGGCCTGGGCCCTGCCCTCTCAGAGCCTGGGAGCCTTGGGAAGAGCCCTGGGGAGGTGAGGCCTGCTGAGCACTGTCCTGCTGTGGCTCCGGCTCCCCACTCAGGGACAGAGTCAAGGTGCAGAGGCTGGAGGTAAGGAAGGATTCTGGGAGTTTTATACCACGGATCCCCACCAAATGCCCAGCCAGTAGCATTTATGACAGGCGATGGCCCTCCAAGAAGCCTCCGAGCTCAGGCTGTGACCTGAGGGTATGGAGACACACTGCTGTCTAGGTATGCCTTCCTTGGAAAACCAAGAGAATACCTGGTGTCTTCCTGTGGCTTCTGCTAGGCTGGCTAATGGGGGACCCTTTGGGGCTGCTTCTACCTGCGTGTCCCCTGAGCACCTCTTATTCTGAGCCCATTGTTCAGGTCTGCTTTCCTGGATGTTGGACCTTTTGGCTTCTCCCCTCCCACTTCCCCCCAGACGGGAGGATCCCTGAGCTCTGGCCCGCAGTGCACTAGGCAGGTCAAAGGACTCATCAGATTTGGCATCAACATAGTGCTGTCCTGGGAGAGGACATCAGGTTGCCCCAGGAAGGGTGAATTGATCCGGAACAGCAGGTTAAAACCCTTATCTCACCCTAGTGGGCTCACACTGGTGAATACCACTGCCTTGCAGGCAGAGTGGCACCCTCACAGTGCACATGCGCTCACGTGGCCTGAAGCAGGCACTGCCTCTGCCAACCAGGAACCTAGCCAGAACCAGCGGTGCTTGGCTCAACACAAACTCACTACTGACAATTCAGAGAAAAGTACTGTGGTTAGCTCTGCTGCAGAGACAAGAAAGCCCGAGGCTGAGCCTTGTGTTCACTGGACCTCGTGCTGCTTTGGGCTAGAACAAGCTGACCCTGAGCTCACCTGTACAGCAGGTAGGAGCGTAGGCTGCAATTGGTGGCCACACGCGGACTCCAACTCTGTTACAGACAGCCTGAGGGCTTCAGGTGAGGAGTTCCACTTCCTCCCCTCTTCTGGGGGCTGGTGAGGGCTGCATGGATAATGTATACAGAGTGCTTAGCACAGCGCTGGCAGAGCCAGTGTGCTGCCAATGACAGCAGTAATGTTTTATGAAAAAACTGACTTTAGGACAATGGCTCTGGAAAGCTTCCTAATGCAGAACTCAGCTTGGAACTTATGGGAAACCCCCTCTGGAAAGGCCTCTGAGCTGCACGGGCCACACCCATACACCAACACTCCCAGACTTCCCTCTCCAGCAGGCCCATGACAGGAGTGGAAGGGAAGCACAGGTGACAGGGGCCTTCCTGGTGGTCTGGGGGGACGGGCTCATATGGATAGAGGGTCTGGATGGAGAAGAAGGGGGAGGCTGAAGTGAGATCACAGGGTCTTGAGGCTCCCCCACAGCCCATCAGGTGGCTGGTACAACAGGAGCCGCTACAGGCCCACAGCTGGGCATCAGGATGGAAGGCTTCTTCAGGAAGCTGGCACTGGGGCCAGCTGCAGTTACATTGAGGGCCACCCATGGGCAACAAGACCAGTCAGGGCCTGTTGGAGCCCAGACGGAATTTAATGCCAGGATCCGTGCACAACATGAAACTCCAGACAGGGAAATCACCAGGTACCGGGCAAAGCCCCTCTCATATGTTTCTCGTTGTGTGAGCTTCTTTACTCAGTGAGCCAGTTACCTCCACTGCATCCTCAGGGAGGTGGTCTCCACAGGCACTAGTGGCAGGGCCAGGTCTACAGCTCACACCCCAGGACCCCTACTTCTTGGGGTGCTCTGTCTGGCAGGGTCAGGAAAGTGATCATAATTAAACTGAGTGGGAGGTGGGACTGTATGTCTTGAGCCCAGGACTGGGGACAAGCCATGAGTGACCTGTGGAGGGCTCTGCACAGATCTGCAGTCCAGAAGCCTGGCTGGAGGTCCAGCCCTGTCACTCACCACCAGTGTGACCTGCACAATCTCCAACACTTTCCTGTCTCAGCATCCCCAGTGGGGATGATTGTGGTCCTGACTGCAAAGTGTGCCTGTGGAGGTCCTGGAGCAGAGGCCTGTGAAGGTGCAGGCTGAGGTTTCTGGGCTGTGTGGCTTTGTCTCACACTGCCTGTTGCAGCACCGGTGCTGGGATCAAGCTTGGCCAGGTAGCAACTCCACCAATGTTTCCGCATGCACCTCCTCAGTGTAGGTGCCATGCTACTTGGCTGAAGCAAGATGAGACAATGGCTGACAAGGGCCTGGGTTCTGACAGGAGTGGTGGACTGAGGCAATCTCTGCAAGATGACCAGACATGGGAAGGATACTGTGTGGGCCATGGGAAGGTGCATGGGCTGCAGGGAGCTGGAGACTGGCTTAGAAGTAAAGACAGGCTGAGCAGGACAGGCTCGGAAGATCTGGGTTCAATGCTCTGCCTTCGAGTCATCTTTCTGGGTGACAGGGGTGCCTGGCTCTCACTAGGCCTCTGTTTTCTTCCTGCACAACAGATGGAGGACATCAGAGCACTAGGAGCTAAACTGTCAGGAGGGAGGCTCTCACACCTGAGGCCTCCAGGCCTGTTGGGATCTGCCAGCCTGCAGGGGATTTCCTAGGGCCTCCGTTCTCAGCCCTCTGACGTAGTCATTGGCTGGGTGCCCAGAGTTGGGGGTGGGTGCCCGGAGCACAGCTCAGTGGGAAAAGCAGGCAGGCACACTCCCAGCCCACGCGTCGTCCACCCCTCCAGGCTGGGTTATCCTGCCCTTAGCCCCAAGGTGAGGAAGTGGGACATCCTCCATACTATGAAAGAAGAAGCACTGCCCCCTCGCCCAAGATCCTGAGGTGTTTGCTGGGTGACTTCAGGCAAGTCCCTGCCCCTTTCTGGGCCTCAGTTGCTGTTTAAGCAGCTACGAGGGCAGAGATTTCTGAGCTCTTTGGAACTCTGACATGCTGGAATCTGGGTGGAGGCTGGGGTCCTGGGAAAGGGAATTGGGATGGGGTGTTGGGTCCCAGGGGCTTGCTTCCCATTACAGAGCAGAGGGGTGGGGTACGTGGGGGGAGTGGTGTGGGAGCAAAGGAGCCCCAGGCCTCCAGGTGGCTCCAAGAAAGGGCAAGGCTAGCCTGAGGTTTTGGAAACATATTTACTTTCAAGTGTCCTGTGTCACTGGGGGCTTTCTCTTTGGGTTTTGAAATGCTCCAGAAATCAGCACTCTGCATGTGTGTGTTTGCTGAGCAGAGTATGGGCTGTATTTATTCATCCTTTAGCCCAAGCCCTTAAAAATATAGACGGCTAATGTCTTCAGTATGTATGAAATATCCCATATGCTCGGAAACAAAAGGGGCTCTGTTATTAAAGTTTCATTTCCACACGCCCCCTCCCCTCCCACCCGCCCGCCCCCTGACACCCTGCCCTCCTTCCATCCCATTCAGCCTGCTGGAGACAGAGCGGGCGTGAGGAGGCTGGCGGGCAGGCGGCGGGCTGTCGGGCAGCTGGGCAGCTGGACAGCTGTGGACAGAGGCCGGGAGCAGCAGGCCAGTTCCTGTGTGAGTGGGTGCAAAGTCCAGCTCCAGGTGAGCGGATGAACAAGGGCAGGACATCAGGGACTGCAAGGAGAGAGACCTCTGGGGTCTCTGGGGTGGTCAGTGGGGAGTGGGCCAGAGGTGGCCCTTTCTGTGGGCTCCTTGCGGCTGGAGCCCTGGCAGAGCCCCGCTGTCTGGGACGGAAATGCCCGCTCTGCCGCTAACTGAAACCACATGTGTCTCCTAGGCAGTGGGACAAGGCCACCGCCCGCCAAGCCTGGGGCTTGGAGCTGGGGGAGGCAAGATGCAGGCAGCCCGCTGTGTGCCCTAGGGTGGGTGAGGGGCTGGCAATGAAGGCTCCGGGTGGCCTGTGTCTGTACAAGTGAGTGTGAGTGAATGGCTGAGGGTGGTGTGTGTGTATGCATGCACGTGTGCCCATCTGCAGCATGAGGGAGTGTCCCTATTCTCTGGCCCCATGTGATTGTCCTCTTGGCTTTCTACCTGTCACCTAGTAGCCTGCTAGTCACCTCCAGGTGAGGAGAAACCTTCTGGGTGGTGGGCAAGGTCAACACCTTCTCCCCAGCGCTGCCTTCCTCCTGGTCTAGCCCTGTCTGTTTCCACACCTGCAGAACCTCCACCCATTTCGCAGAGGGAAAGGATAGGAAGAGAGCTAGGCGGTGACGCACAGCAGACCGCATCCCCTGGTCCTCTCCTGTGCTCTTTCCATAGTAGGTCCCTTCCTGCCGGGAGCTGCCACTGTCACTGTGGCCCTGGAAAGTAAAGACACCAAGCAGAGTGAGGGACACCTTACATAGGGCCATCAAAGACAAGGTGGGAGTGCCGTCCTGGCTGATCCAAGGTTCAGAGGATTCCTGGGGCAAGTGCTCAAGCAGAGACAGGCTTGAGGCTGCACCTTCAGGTTCTACCACAAATGAGACCATTTCTGAGTGCTCAGGTAACCTGAGTCTTAGGCCATTTTTTCCTCAAGAATGAGCCTTGCGTGGAGCAGGCTTAGGTTTTCAAGGTGGCTCTGCCACTGCCTTACTGTGAACGTTGGACTGGCCCCTCTCATGGCCAGGCCTCAGTTTCCCTATCCCTCGGATGGCAGGGGTGGGGCAGGTGGCTTTCCAAAACCTGATGGTCATGCCTCTGGCAGCTCCTGTGAGCTACCATTTTCCATTTCAATGATTGTGTTTCACCTACGTTAGGGAAAAGTACATAAATAACATATCAAAGCAGCGAGTAGATTGAAGTAAAAATATACTCTACTGAGATAAAAATTGGGACCCATAAAAGATCTCTTGGGTCCTGTGCATTTTGGCAGTCGGTTCTCTTTCAGTTTCTGCCATTTCAAGTGCCAGTAAAAGCGTAACTTCTGGCTGTGAAGGGCCAGAAGGTGTGATCCGTCTCCTGGCCCCCACAAATTAGCAGCCCTGTAATTCTGTGATTACAGAGGAGAAAGCCCCGCTGCCACCTGTGAGTATGTGGTGTGTACTGTGTGGGAAAAGGCACGGGATGGGATGGGCAGAGCAGGGGAAAGGACCAGCCTATCCCAGACTCGGGGGGGGGGGGGGTGGGGGTGGGGTTGGGGGCCTGGGTGTTCAAGGTCAAAGGTTGGGAGTCGGAGAAAAAGGTATCCCTGGAGTGCCATTCATTTTCAAGTGCTTTGTCCGGTCTCAGTCTCTTGGGTGGGTAGTCAAGAGGCCACCCTGGCTTCTGCCTTTCCTGCCATTCAGCCTTGGCGCCCTGACCACTTGGCTGTGGTTTATCTGTCCACCCAGGACTGACCTTAGGTGGGGTGTTCTGGGCGCGGCAGGAGCTGTGGAGCCCCTTGGCGGAGCACGCAGCCCCTTCTCCAGGCTGAGCTCGCATTCCCTGCTGCTATTACTACTCCTTAGCAGTTTGCTGCCATGCAGGGTCACTGGTGATTTGTCTCACCACCAGGTCTTAGCGGAGTCCCGCTCTGCTCCGTTACAGGAAATGCAGCTTCAGGGACTGGTTTTTCCTTACCTAAAATGCAGAGAGGGTACCACATTTTGGCTCAAAGGTGTAGACAGCATCTTTGGATGGGGATAAATTCATGCCCCTCAAGTCTTAGAGAGGCAGCAGGTGCAGAAGAAGGAGCCCAGGGATGACTTATCCAGACTTTCCCACTGGGGTGCCATGTAACCCTAGGCACATGCCTTATCCCTGCTGGCCTTTCTCTCCTCTGACCTCAGGAGTCTTCATCTTTGATGACACTGAAATAATTCTCTAGCTCTTGTGTAGAGCAGTGTCTTGTTTCCAGGGTCTTGTTCCTCTTGAAGAGCACCTTTTCAGGAGGAAGAACCCTGTAAGTTTCGGGTTGGGCTGCCCAAGGCAGAGAAGGCCCACATGTAGGCACCCACACTCTGTAGCTTGGGCTCCTGTAGGCCCCTGCCAGCTCTTTTAGAGCCCAAGGCCAGGGTCAGGGGCACTGTCACTGCCTGCAGAGCTTCACACATCCAGCCAGCCTTTGGTGGCCTTGTGCATCTGGCTGCACCACTACCAGCTACACCCAAGGCCAAGGCCAGACCAAGCTCTGCTTCATGGCCCTGAGCTACCACTGGGAAGCTGTCACAGAGGTCTGCCTGGTGGGCAGAGTCCTGATTACTGGGAGAGCAGCTCTGTCCTAAGAACATTTCTCCTAGAAAATGAGATGCTTGCTTCTGCCACTGTCAGCCTAGGTAAGTCCACCATGGTGTAATGGGGTTCAGATGGCAGTGGAGGATGACTCAGGTCCCAGTCCTCGTGGGGTACTTATCTAGCCCCTTAAATGATGACCATTTCTCCAAATTTTGACTTAAAGATGTGCATAGCACGCTTGATTGGGGATGGATGCACACTCTCAGGAAATCTGCAGGTGCAGGCTGCGACATTCCCTTAGATTTCAGCTTCCTGGGTTTGGTGGAGGCAGTATGGAAGTGGGAACAGAGAATTTTACCTGTAGAGTCACACCAATGTCTGCTGGTGCAGTTTCAAATTCAAAGAAGGAAAAGCTGAGGTTTGCTGTAGCTTAAAGAATAATCCAAGCAGAATGGAGTTGGGCAAGCCCGCACTCTGCTCCGGCGGCGTCTGTGAGGTTGGCCGGATCTCTGCCTCTTTCAGAGCTCTGATTTCCTGATCTGGAGCATGGGTTGTTGTGAAGACTCCCAAGGTGTTGGCAACAGCCCGCAACTCCCCTGACTGAAGGACAGGGTGTCATCAGGATGCTAGGTGCTGCGTCCTGTGATGAGGGAAGCCCCCGAGTCATTCCCAGTCCCTGCCCTGCCCTTACTGGCTCTGTGATCTCAAGCAGGTTGCTGAGCTCCCCTGAGTCTCTGCTTTCTCTTCTGAAAGACTAAGGCAGGAATGGGACCTACCTCACAGGTTGGCTATGGGGACCGAGGCAGCTGCCCTAAGATCCTGGCGCACACTCAGTGGTCAGTGAGTATCTCGCTAAATGATGCGACCCTGAAAGCCTCAGCCCCTCACAGGGATCCCCTCCCAGAGTCCTCCTAGCCCCACTTTGGGATTACAGCCACTGTACATGTTGAGGTCGTCGGGCAGAGGCTCTGGAAGGCCTGGTAGGGCTCCACCCCTACCCTGGCCTCTGGGCTCATCACTAATACTGCCCAGGCTTCCTCTCAGAACCTTGTGCAGTGAGTGTCCTGCGATGGCGAGGGGCATAGTGGTTCCCCTCATGATCCTCGATTGCAATGGGAAGGTTCCACACCTGAAGGATAATAAGAGAAATGGGAATCTCAGGGACCTGATGTGCAGAGAGGGAGGGGCCCATGTGAGTAAGGGCTGCAGAGGTAGAGGGGAAGGCTGGGGGTCTTGGGAAGGTGGGAAGCCTTCCAGGGAGAGGATGACAGGTCCTGGTTCTCCTGGTAGCAGAAATGGGTTAAAAGTTCCAGAGAGGAGAGGACAAATTCGGTAGGGGCCAGGGCTGCAGCCCCAAGCTCCTGGGGTGGTTCAGGCTGGCAAAGCACCTCCCAAGCTGTGCAGACAGGTGCCATAGCCCTCCACGTGCACTTGTACCTGTGCACGTGTCCCATGCAGACACTCATGTCACATGGAGATACACAGACACACACACTCCAACGCCCAAACATACAGACCCACAGAGACAAACAGCTGCAACCAGACGCACAAACACACAAACATACACTGATACACAGATATACACTGATACACAGCAGCATGTGTGGATGTATGCCCGGAGACATGTTCATATGCAGGTATACACACAGCACAGATATACGTAGTCACATAGTCACAGAGAATCACAGTTACATGGATACACACATGGACACTACAGATGTGCATATGGACAGACACACGGATGCTACAGACACAGGATATAGACATACACTTAGGCACACACAGGGCACATGTACATGTACAGACCCATGTACAGATAGCCATGCACTTGCATGCTGGACAGGGCAACTGCAGGCAGGGGGGCAGCTGCAGGCAGGGGGGCAGCTGCAGGCAGGGGGGCAGCTGCACGCAGGGGGACTCTGTGATTCCTGCCAGTTTGAGCTCCTGCTTCACCTGGACCCAGATCCTCCTGCAAGGAACACTGAGCCTGGATGGAGCTGTTCTTCCTTGCTGGGCTGGGTTCTCAGCTCCTGCCTTCCATTTTTTTATTAACTTTACTGAAAATCAGTAATTACATATCATATTAAAATTGTGGACAAATATTGAAATGTGAAAGTATAAGATGTAGACAGAGTGAATTTTAGAGAAATATTTCTGAAATGAATACATAGTATGAGATTAATAATAGATTGCACATTGTAAATAAATTATTTACAAACTTAAATGAATATAACAATAAAAAGTGTCCAAAATAAAAATGAAGAAGAATTTCCAGATCAGTCATAATAGTTCACTCTTTGTCAAAATAAAGAAACTTATATTCATATAATTAGAATTCTCAAAGTAGAAAGGAGTAGGCAATAAATATTTAAAGATTTAAAATTTCTGAATTTAGGGGCCGGGGAGATGGCTCAGTAGAATAAGTGCTTCCCTGGCAAGAGCAAGGG